CATTTATTTTTCAAAAACTGCCCGTTTCGGTTTTTGGCCGAGTGCATCTTGAATTTTCGGTTTCGGCACAAGAATTTTTTCATTTTGGTACACCACTTGTATCAGAGTCAAAGAGGGAACGTTTTTTGTGTGTGCATAAGCTTCTCTCAGATTCCATCAAAATTGGTTCTCTCTCTCAGGATCCTACTACTCTCTCTAAATCTCTTAAAGAAGATTCTCCATTGAGAATCCAGCTTCGGTATGGAATGAGATGCCTAAATTAGATGCAAGATTTTTTTCCTAGATGTCAAAACACACTGACCTAGCTTTCGAAGATGTGGGCATTCTCAAAGATGCAATGGAGCCTGGAGTATTGGTTAAGAAATTTTAAAAGGCTCACATTGAGGCTGGGACTCCACCACTGCCACCAAGAAGGTACTTTATCACAGCACTTGCAATGCATCCTGTGAAACCTCTGGCCATGACATCCCTGTTAAAGTAATGGATGTTACAGAGGCCTGTCTTCGGGGAATTGCTAAGACCTGTGGTTTTTTGCTGCTTCAGAGAATCTGATCTGATTTTGCCTAAGAAATATCTGGGGGGGGGGGTCTAGGCTGGCTTCTGAACCCTCAGAAACCCATCCATTTACCTTCTCAGGAGCTACTTTTCCAGGTTACTCTATCAATTTTATCCATCAAAAGTATTTTCTTACCAAAGAAAAGGTTCTGAAGCTATAGTCGGCCCTTGTTATAATTACAAACCAGTCAGGAGTTATACCTGAGGAAAGCAAAGTCAGCTGTCAGACTTTTTTTGAATTTGTAGATGCCAATCTGCTGACTGCCTAAGGCATCATGCACACTGGGTGTTTTTGCAGCCACTTTTAGGGATGGCGAGTGTGTTCTTTGTTTTGTTTTTTTTACTGTTTCCAAACGGCCCTCTGCCAGGGGTCTCCAAACTTTCTAAGCAAAGGGCCAGTTTACTGTCCTACAGACTTTAGGGGGACCGGACCAGAAAATGCCCCGGCATCAGTGGGAATAAACAATGCCCCATCTTTGGTGTTAGTGAGAGGAATTGTGCCCCATCGATGATGTCGCTGGGCTCCATTCTTGTTATCATTGGGATGAACTGTGCCCCATCGTTGGCATCACTGAGAGGAATTTGTTGGTGTCAGTGGATTAAATAGTACCCCAAGGGCCAGGTAAAAGCAAGCAAAAGGCTGCAGTTTGGAAACCACTGCTCTCTTATCCTATGTGTTCATGCACACAAGACTTTTAGAAGCTTTTAATAGCAGTAGCGTTTACCAGCAGGGGAAAAAAAAATGACGTGGCTAAATGTGCGTAAACACTAGGTGCGTTTTATACATGAGCATTAATTTCAGTGGCCAGAATAAATGACCGTTCTGGCCAATGAAAGGAATGAATGCGCAAGCTCTTGAGGCTTGAAAACGTGCCTAAACGCTTGTAAAAGCATTAGATATTTTTATCAGTGTCGGGCATATTTTTTTTTTTTAGCAAAAACACTACTATCAGGAGGACAGCTTCTAGGAGAGGTGTTTTTCTTTTTTTTTTTTTTTGTAGGTGAACCTGTTTGTGAAACAGAAGAATGCGAAAGTACTGGTGTTTTACTCCGTAAATAGAAGGGAGGAACACTTGGGGATCGATTTCTTGCCCATGCCTGGGACTTAAGCAGTCATTTCCATTTTGGAATTTTTGCAGGATGGATCTGAAAAGACATTGGCTATTACACACACTGGGTGCGGATGGCAGCTTTGAGTGTTTTTCTGGAGAGATCTTTTGCTAAAGAGCCCTTGGTTAACAGATTTTTTTTTTTTTTTTGGGGCACTAGCCAGATCTAGTGGGACCTCTGAGTAGTTCTACAGACCTTGCCCCTTCAGTGACCTTAAAGCTTCTCACACTTAAGACTATTCTTCTGGTGGGGGTGACTTTTGCTTGTGAGTTGTAAGCTGTTTCTGTCAATCTTTCCAGACCAAATTGTAATGAGAATGATCCAGGTTTTTTGCCATCCTCCTTCTATCATCACTCTCAAGACATTTATTCTTCCTACATGCTGTCCTACTTCAGCTCACAGTAGAGATGAATATTTTCACACCCTCGATGTCTGAAGGTTACCTGGATTACCTGGAGATTACCTGGAGGTAACCTAAATTTTAGAGTAGATATTTTCTTTGTGCTGTTTGATGTCAAGAAGGGCCAAAGAGTTTCAAAGAATTCCATAGCCAGATGGGTAAGGATGGCTATTAAAGAATCTTATATCCTTCCGGACCTGAATTCCTCATTGAGGATTAATGTACAGTCTCTACTAGCGGTTTTGCTTTAACCTGGGGGAAAGGGCTGATGAATTGATTTGCAAGGCAGCTTTGGTGGTCAGGCTTTACAAACTTATTCAGCCACTATACATTGGACCTGTTGTCAGCTAGTGACCACAGTCTTTTGGCAGGAAGGTCTTGCCAAAAGACTGTGGTTTCCCCCCAAACCCCTAACTGGCAAGTTCTGGTTTATCCTCTTAGGTGCTGTCCTGATAGATGATTAGGAAAAACCAAGTTAGACTTGCTAATTTACTTGGTTTCCAGGAAGTCTTTCAGGACAGCAGCTACCACCCGCCCTATTAATTTGAATGGCTTTGTTTTTGTGTTTTTCAGCTTAGACAGAGGTACTCTTCAACTCCTTTTGGCTTGCTGAGCATTTTGGAGCTTTGAGTTTTTCAAGCCACAGAACACTCAATTGTGAATGGAAGGCTTAGATTTTAATAGCAACATCACTTTTTTGATCATTTTAAAAAGTTTTTTACTATAATTTTTTTTTTTTTTTTTTTTTTTTTTTTTTTTTTGAGCAATGCCACTTTTTGAATGGGAACTCCAGCCATGCATCTTGTCCAATGTTTTTGTCTATCTTTTTTTTCCCTTCAGTAGTACTGAATGAGGCAAGGTTAGCTGAACTGAATTTCTCTTTTGAGAAGAGGTAATTAAAGGGGATATGATCACCATATATAAATACATAAGTGGTTTATATAGTGAACTAGGTGTTGAGTTATTCATTTTCAGGTCATTACAGAAGACAAGAGGGCACTCTTTATTGAAGAAAAGAGATTTGGCCTCCATGTATAGAAAGGCTTACAGTAAGAGCTGTGAATGTGGAATAGACTCCTTCAAGAACTAGTTCCAGCTCTTTTTTTTTTTTTTTTTTAAATCAATCAACTAAGGTGGCTAGATGGATTCCTGAATGCACAAAATATAGCCAAAATTATACCTGTAACTGCGCTTTAACCATAGTGATATTGATACCATGTATGTGCTACTATAAATTCTATAAAAAAAAATACATTCAAATTCTGTTATTTGAGTTGATGTTTTTAAGTTCATAAATGTGCCAAAAAATATCCTATTCAGCCCATTCTCAAAATACTCTACATACTTATTCTTCCACCATAAAGTGCAAAAAAAAAAAAAATTGTTCACAAAAGTGCAACAGGAACAAAGCACCCAGTGTTCTTCACCTCTTCAGGTAAATGACTTCCCTCCCAATATATGTAAAAATTTAATATTCACTACTTTGGAAGGTAGCCTACATTATACAATCCACTTCAGATCAAATTCCACCAATAGACAATCCTTCCAGACAATAATGAGTTAATAGGTCCAATCTTCTCCTCAATTAGCTTCCATTCAGATACTCTCCTGGTTACCACTGCACCATGCAGTTTGTCGACATCATGTCAAAGATGGAGGTAAAGCTCCACCTACTGTAAAAACACATTTATTTTTACAACAAAGCCAATGCACTTATATTCTAGATTGTCATGCGACACAAAGGAGATTCGCCCATATGACCTGTAGCGCCGCCGGCTCTAGCCACAAGCACAGGCTGCTAGTCAAAGCATTGCTCTGTGTGACTGAAGCTGGGATTAAGTTTTCTCACATCTTTGGCGCATATCTTGGGGGGATCAGGAATATATGTGTGTATTTCTTCTTCTTTTTTTTTTTTTTTGTTAATGTTTAGTTTTTTTTAACCAGAATTATGCAACTATGAATCAGGATCTGACTGATTTAGGAAATCTTCTCTTCCACTTTGGCTAGACCACATTGGTTGAGGAAGGGTAGAAATGCTCACTATAGAATTGTGTGCTTGGTGAAGCAAAAGAAATGATTTATTTAATTTTGTTCGCTGAACTACTTTCTCACCTACACATAAAATTGGGTGAAGTTGCATGTAGGATCTGTCTTGAAAATTTATAGTTGAGATGTCCAAATTTACTTTGGTATTTCCATTTATATGTTTGTTATTCTCTTTCAGAACACAACAGTCAGCAAATTTTACCTTGGCCAAGTCTTTGTTAATACTACTATTCTTGATGCAAAAGGTATTTACATAGATTCTGCCCATCATGGATACAACTAACTCACTTGTGTGATGTGTTTACATTTTTGTGATTTGTACAGTGTTTAATTTTTTTTAAGCTTGATTTTTTTTTTTTTTTTCCCCCTTTTTTTGATTTTTTTAGAAACCAGGTTTATTCAAGACAATTCCAGCCTTTTGTACCTGCAAACTACAGAGCACAAGTCATACAAATGTAACAGTAAGCAAACTTTCCAGATAACAAGCAACTTCTCTATTAACACCTACAGCCTTCAGATCCAGGCCTTCGATATAGCGGAAAACAAATTTGGACCAGGTAAGACACCAATAAAAATTGCCTGCCTGCTCATAGGTTTTTTTTTTTTTTTTTAAGTTGCCTTTAGTTCCACTTAAAGTATAGAAATGTTTCCACTATGATTGCTGCTGGTATATCCCCGATATGCAACTCTTCTGATAGAGTAGTTCAGTAATAGAACATGATAAACTTGTCTAAGCACATCTGAGAGCCAGGTTGGCAGATCAAGGGAGCACATACAATATGAATTATCAGTCACTTGCTCTGTGTAATTTAAGCTGAAACTGTCATGTTGTACACCATTATGAACATTATTATTATGATTATTATACAGGATTTATATAGCACCAACAGTTCTTCGCAGCACTTTACAATGTGAGGGCAAATAGTACAGTTACAATACAATTGAATACAGGAGGAATCAGAGGGCCCTGCTCATTAGAGCTTACAATCTAAAAGGGGAGCGTCAAGTGATACAATAGGTAATAACTGTGGGGGATGAGCCGATGGAGAAAATACATGTACAGTTGTTAGATGGAGGCAGGACAGGCTTCACTGAAGAGAAATTTTAGGGATCGCCTAAAAGTGGCCAGAGTAGGGGATAGTCTGACAGATTGGGGTATGGAATTCCATAGGATGGGAGAGGCTTGGGAGAAGTCCTGCAGGTGAGCATGGGAGGAGGTGACGAGAACTAGAGAGCAGGAGGTCTTGGGAGGAACGAAGAGTGCGATTTTGGTATTTTGTGAATAGGTTAGTGATATAGTTGAGGGGTCTAGTTCTGGATGGCTTTGTAAGTTGTTTGTATTTTGAATTTTAATTCGTTGGGTGGGTGGCAGCAAATGGAGGGAATGACAGAGAGGGGTAGCAGACACTTAACAGTTGGTAAGGTGGATGAGTCTGACAGCAGCATTCATGATGGACTGGAGAGGGGATAGCCTATGTAAAGGTAAGCCAATGAATATGTTTTGGTAAATACCTGAAAAAACTAAAATTGTGCTTGTGTCCAAATATATATGGACCTAACTGTACAATTGTGATGCCCGACTGCGGTATTCCCCTAAGATATTAACGGTCTCCATAGTGACATACATCCAAATGCAATACAAAAAGCTGCAAGTTGCTGGTGTGTGAATTCCTAAATGCACATTTGCAATGTGTCTATATACCACCACCCAGTGGCTGGATTTTATTGCTTTAAAGGTAACTCCACTTTAGTCAGAAAAAAAATTGCAAATAAAAAATATATAGTATATACCAGTGATGGCGAACCTGTTTGAGCCTGAGTGCCCAAACTGCAACACAAAACCAACTTATTTATTTCCAAGTGCTAACACTGCAATTAACCCATTGCCTGCCGGGCACATCTACCCCCTCCTGCCCAGGCCAATTTTCAGCGCTGTTGCACTTTGACAATTGCATGGTCATGCAACATTGTGCCCATATGAAATTTTTATAATTTTTTTTTCACACAGATAGTTTTTTTTTTTTTCTTTTGGTTGTATTTTTTTATAAAATTTTGCAAACAGGTAATTTTTCCCTTTCACTGATGTGCGTTGATGAGGCTCCACTGATAGGCAGCACTGGTGGGCATTGATGAGGAGGCACTGACAGTGATATGGTCACTGACTGATGGCACCAATTGGAGGCACTGCTGGGCACTTTTGGGCGGCCCTGATTATTAGTGCAGATCTGCCCTGTCACATCTGCTGGCTATCGGCAGTACTTTCTTCATGCTGTGACAGAGTGAAGTAAGTGCAGCTGATAACCAGCAACTGTATTTACATTTGTGATCAGCTGTGTCATTGGACACCGCTGATCACGTGGTAAAAGGCTGCTGTGATTGGCTTTTTACCTTATTATGAGATCAGCTGTGTTTGTAGGACACATCGGTCACCGACAGCGCTGGCTGTGCGGCGCTGGGAGAGCGCAGGGGAAGTGTTATGGGAGGATGTGGACGCCCTCCCAGAACTAATCAACCACGCTGTAGCCATCTTTCGGCTATAGCGCGGTTGACAAGCAGTTAATCTCACCTCCCAGCAGTGTCCGTGTGGCTTCCAAGCAGGCAGCTCATTCCCATCCACGCTGAACATGTCGCCCCTGGAGCAGTGTGGGAGTTGTTTCCTCTCATCCCATGCCTGTCCCCGGATACGTCGCCCCTGGTGCCAGAGCCATGTGGGAGCTATCTCCTCTTGTCCAGGCCCACCCTGTCCCCAGAGATATGTGGGAGATGTAGTTCGATGGGGGGTGCGGTGTGGACAGTATTGGATGGCCGGTCAGTGTGCGCGGTCTGTGTGCGTCCATGTGCGTGGTCCGTGTACGCTCATCTTCCTTTTCTTCCTGGCATGCCCACTGAGATGGCTCTGTGTGCCATAGGTTTGCCATCACTGGTGTATATATAATTGCAACACAAGTCATAGTGTAATTGAATGTTATTTAAAATTTACTTTTCAATATGCAGCGCTGTAATTTTCTGTAAAATGCAATGTAGCTACCTGGAGTATTTCTGTACGTGGTGTACAGAATTCCTCTCAGATATGTCATTTCTAGCTTGTGTGATTGGCTTACTGATTTTCTCAGAAGTCTGTGCTAAGATAAGTCAGATTTTTGGCATCCCCTGCAACAAAAGCCATTTTTGGTGAGGGAAATCATGGCTAGAGGGATGCAAACCTTGCAGTTTTCCTCATTAGAGCCCTGCAGGTCTAGCAGCTGATTGAGAATTATAAAACCACTCCCATACAGATTCACATGGACAAAAACAAACAAATGGCTATTTCTTCAGAATAACAAAAGGTAGGACTCTACAACAAAGTTTGTTAAAATCCTTGAAATGTACAGTGATACCTCGGTTCATGGACTTAATTCGTTCCACAATGCGAATTGGTCACGAACCGTGGCAAATTTTCCCATAGGGTTCAATGTAAATCCGGTTAATCCGTTCTGACCCCTACGAACGTGGTCGTGGACCGAATTTGGTTGCCAACTTTTCCTATAAGCTTCAATGTAAATAAGGTTAATCCGTTTTTGAACTTCTTTTTTTTCTTTTGTTTTTGAACCACAAAAATATGAAAACAAAGTACAGTATGAAGAGAGGGAACACTAAGCTTGCTTGAGACGACTTCTGGCGTGGAGGACAGGAAGGCAAGTGGGAGGGGGTTATTCATATTTTGTTCCCTGAATGCACGAGGGGCCTGGGAATGGTATACCAGAAGTGGCTTAATCTTCAGATCGGCGCTTGCGTTTGCACACAGCAAAAGGGTCAATCTGTCCTTCATGGGCTTGTGGCCCGTTAGTGCCTTTTTCCTTCTTCTTGATATAGATTCTGTTCGGCATCTTTTTCCAGAAGAGCCCGGTTTCATCACAGCTGAACACTTGTTGAGTGACGTATCCTTCTGCCTTCATGAATTCCGCAAATTCTTTCTTGTAGGCCCCTGCAGCGGACTTGTCAGAACTGGAAGCCTCACCATGTCTTGTCACACTGTGGATGCCACTTCTCTTGCGAAATTTTTCAAACCACCCTCTACTGGCTTTAAATTCTTCACTTGCTGCACTTGTAGATGGGTTTTTTTTTTTTGTTTTGTTTTGCAGTAAATCACTGTGCAATTTCCCAGCTTTTTCACAGATCATAGCTTCACTAACGCTATCACCTGACAGCTGTTTTTCATTCAGCCACACTAACAAAAGTTTTTCCACCTCTTCCAGCACTTGCGTCCTCTGCTTGGTGAACATCATTACTCATTTTGCCACATCAGCTCCTTTGATGGCAGCTTTCTTCTTCAAAATAATCGAGATGGTTGACTTCGCCATCTTGTATTCCGAGGCCAGATCAGTCACACGAATACCACGGTCATGCTTTTCTACAATTTCCTTCAACTCAATGGCTATTTTCACAACAACCTTATTCTTACCATTCTTGCTCTGCGCTTTATTTTGACCACCATGCTTGCTCTGCGCATTCTTGTCACCTTCATTACCGTTCTGCACTTTCGTTTTACCACCGTGCTTGCTCTGCATATTCTTGTCAACTTCATTACCGCTCTGCGCTTTTTTTTTTTTTTTTTTTTTTTACCACCATGCTTGCTCTGTACATTCTTGTCACCTTCGTTACCGCTCTGCATGTTTTTCTTACCACCATGCTTGCTCTGATTTTTCTTTGGAGCCATACTGGATGTCTGGTACAGTATGTGCTAAAAAGCACACCAAAAAGCTTTACAGCAAGTGTACACAGGGATGTACAGTATGTGCTAAAAAGCTTCACAGTAAACTTTCAGTGTCTGTCTGTGACAATGATCTCACCTACAGGAAGTCACGTCCACATGTCCGAGCAGGGAAGATGGCTGCGGCTCGTGTTCGTCAACCGAAGCGGAGTTCGCGGGCCGAATCAAATTTTTGCTAAGTATTCTATTTGCGAACCGAGTTGTTCATGAACTGAGGCGTCACTGTACATTGATGACTTAGACAAATGTTTTGTTTTTCTTTCAATAAAAGTGGAGTTACTCTTTTAAAGTGATTATAAAGGCAAAAAGTTTTTTGGTTTTTTTCTTTTTTTTTTACCTTAATGCTTTTTCTGCATTCAAGCAGAACTACACTGCATCTGAGCATCACAAAGCTGAAAAGTTATTTAAGTCATAATATTCAAAGCAACCTCACCAATCCATCAATGTCTCCATGCTTTATTTTGCTGAAAAATCACTTTGAAAAACACTCCCTAGCATTTCTGGTCGCGGCCATTTTTGAGTAAGGGCAGATGATTCATGTAGCATTGACTTCCTGGAATCCTTCTGCCCTTAGCTCAGGCATATATGCAGGAGGGAATGCTTAGTTGAAAAAAACCCTCCTCCCCTTCAGAAGACTCCTGGGATGTATAACATTTGCCTAGGCAAGAAACCAAGTAAAATAAAGTAAATATGATATATGTTCCTAATCTACCAATGCTACATAAGGATTAATATAAATATATTAATATAGATAGTTGGTCAATGTTGATTGAGAGAGTGAAGATCCACTTTAAGGTAGAAAAAAAAACTTTTAAAAGTTGACAGGTTCTGACTAGTAGTCAGGCTAGATTGTGGGCACATACAATGGATATAAAAAGTCTACACACCCCTGTTAAAATGTCAGGTTGTTTCTGTGATGTAAAAAAATTAGAGAATAAATAATTTCAGAATTTTTTCCACCTTTTTTTAATGTGACCTATAAACTGTACAACTCAATTGAAAAACAAATTGAACTTTTAGGGGAGGAAGTGAACATAAAAAAACTAAAATAATGTGGTAGCTTAAGTGTGCACACCCTCTTATAACTGGGGATGTAGCTGTGTTCAGGATTTAGCAATCACATTCAAAATCATGTTTAAATGATGGCAAGTGTGTACTGCCTCCTATTTAAGTGTCTCTGATTAACCCCAAATACAGTTCAGCTGTTCTAGTAGGTCTTTCCTGACATCCTACAGCTAAAGTCATGGTCTGCAGAGGGCTTCCAAAGCATCAGAGGGATCTCATTGTTAAAAGGTATCAGGAGAAGGGTACAAAAGAATTTCCAGGGCATTATATATACCATAGAACACAGTGAAGACAGTCATCATCAAGTGGAGAAAATATGATGCAACAGTGACATTTCCAAGAACTGGACGTCCCTCCAAAATTGATGAAAGGACAAGAAAACTGGTCTGGGAGGCTGCAAAGAGGCCTACAGCAACATTAAAGGAGCTGCAGGAATATCTGGCAAGTACTGGCTGTGTGGTACATGTGACAACAATCTCCTGAATTCTTCATATGTCTGGGCTATTGGGTAGAATGGCAAAAGGGAAGCTTTTTCTTACAAAGAAAAACATCCAAGCCTGCCTAATTTTGCAAAAATACATCTGAAGTCTCCCAAAAGTATGTGGGAAAATGTGTTATGGTCTGATGAAACCAAGGTTGAACTTTTTGGCCATAATTCCAAAAAATGTTTGGTGCAAAAACACTGCATATCACCAAAAAAACACCATACCCACAGTGAAGCATGGTGGTGGCAGCATCATGCTTTGCGGCGGTTTTTCTTCAGCTGGAACTGGGGCTTTACTCAAGGTAGAGGGAATTATGAACAGTTCCAAATCCCAAATCTATATTGGCACAAAACCTTCAAGCTTCTGCTAGAAAGCTGAACATGAAGAGTAACTTCATCTTTCAGCATGACAACGACCCAAAGCCTACATCCAAATCAACAAAGGAATGGCTTCACCAGAAGAAGATTAAAGTTTTGGAATGGCTCAGCCAGAGCCCAGACCTGAATCCGATCGAAAATCTGTGGGGTGATCTAAAGAGGGCTGTGCACAGGAGATGCCCTCACAATCTGACAGATTTGGAGTGTTTTATGCAAGGAAGAGTGGGCAAATATTGCCAAGTCAAGATGTGCCATGCTGATACTCATACCCAAAAAGACTGAGTGCTGGAATAAAATCAAAAGGTGCTTCAACAATACTAGTTTAAGGGTGTGCACACTTATGCAACCATATTATTTTAGTTTTTTATTTTTACTTCCCTCCACCTAAAAGATTTCAGTTAAGAAAAACATATGTGCTGAGAGCGCACGGCCCTGTGCGCTCCCAGCACACATGTCCCGGTACTCACGAAAAGGTCCCAATCTCCTCTTTCGATCGGGACCTTTCCTGATCATGTGATGGCGAATCACGGCCCAAAAATCCCCACCTCCCGGCTTCTGAAAAGGCGCCATGGGGTTAAATGGGGGGAAAAAGTTCTGACATGATTTATCTTTCTCATTTTTTTTATATCTCAGAAACCTGACATTTTAACAGGGGTGTGTAGACGTTTTATATCCACTGTATAAAAACACTTGTTAATTGTTGTTCATTAAAACCCCCATCAATTAAATCTGTTTTTAAAAGAATGTGTTTGAATTTGGCATTTGTCTTGATACTGGTCTTCTGTAATTGTTTACAGCAGTGATAAGCCTGGGAGAGGGAGGACAAGCACTAGGAGCGATTTGGCAATTGATCATTGTGCTGCTTCTCCTTTTGTTGTCCAGTCAGCAATAGGGGGAGGTGTCTAGGTTCTGCTGTAGATGCAATAGAGGTCCTAGACCTAGGTGTGATGTCCCACAGGGGTGGCTGCATCACAAGACTTATTGGGGGGATTTAATAAAACTGGAGCAGACGGAATCTGGAACAACTGTGCATCGTATAGATTTACAAATGCTTTGGTGGGTAAAGGAATTCCTATATACAGTATAATGGATTTACAACTATGTATTTGAAATTTTAGCCATGTTACAGCTTGAAGACCCTATTGTGTCTAATTATAGGTTCTAATTGGTAAGCATAATCTGTTATGTAAATGTTTGTTAGTTACATTGTTCTTCTCATGTTTTGTCTGTGCAGCTGTGGAATGTGTAGAAGATCAGAATGGCATGTTGGTGCCTATCGTGGTTGGTGCTGCCCCTTGCTGGTCTCGTCCTAATTGTGCTGATTGCTTATCTCATTGGAAGAAAGAGAAGTCATGCTGGATATCAAACAATATAATTGAAGTATTTTCCTTTTTGGTGTAAATTTTACCACTAGCTCTATAAAGAATTGCAATGAGCCAACATTCTTAATTAGGGAGTTTTCATTTGTGCAAGCAAGATTTCATGCAAACTGCTTTATATTTTGATGTTTTTAAACGTGAACTGCCATCAGAAAGCATATATTTACTATGCACAAGAGGATCTGGTCATAAAACAAATTTATTTTTTTTTTTTTATTTTTTTATTTTTTTTCAGAAGAGGGAGGATTTCTTATCAAACTAGGAAAGACTTCAAGTGCTTTAAATGCTAAAGATATTTTCACATGTGAATGCACTATAATCCATAGTTTCAATAACAGTCAATTTACTCAAAAAAGGGAATGTAGGTCGATACTACGGTTACTAAGTACTGCAGAGCACTCTGCATCAAAAATGGAAATTACTTAACATCTATCTAAGTGTAACAGGTTGTGGTGTTTTCTTTGGGTTCCAGCTATCTTACCTTTCTTATACACAGCTAGAAACAAGAGTCAATCATGTGCTCATGCAGGGCATTAACAATGCACTATTTTAATTATTCAACTTCTTGTTTGCTGTTCTCAATGCTCTGCTTTTTCAGAGCTGTTAATTTTCTAAAAACTATAAACTGGGTGTGTTCTTTTTTTTTTTTTTTTTTTTTTTTTTTTTTTTTTTTTTTTTTCTTTTCTGAAACATTTTGTCTTTTTAGTTTTGAATTTGAAAGATTAAGAGGTATTTTTCTGCACATGTGTACAGTAGAGATGTATATGCGGATTGCCTAGCTTGATGCTTGGTTGGGGTTGTACACTGCAAGAAATGTTTGCATTGCCTTAACAATGCTAATAAATTTTTTTTTTTTTTCTTTAATTGTTGTATTTCTTTATCAGTAGTTCCGTGTCATGCATGCATATGTGTGTGTGTGTGTGTGTGTGTGTGTGTGTGTGTGTGTGTATATATGTGGATATATATATATATGTATATGTGTGTGTATATAATCTCACCACCCCTCTGATCACACCAGTGCATGCAGATTACAGTTCAGCCCCGATTCCTGCACCTTCAGACCGCAGATCAGTCCCATGATATGACTTATTAGACATCCAATAATCCTCAGTGCATACCTACACACACTTTAAACTTCAGATCAGTCCAGTGCTTGAACACATGTGCTTCAGACCACAGATTAGTCCCAGTCACATACAATTACGTATTTCGGGCACACAACCGGTTTAATTTAAAGCAGAACTTTTAGTTTAAATATTGGTAACTTACTTTTAGAAAACTCTGACTAAATGAATATACACGTCCTGACTACATGTCCAGTGAGAACATTATGGCTTATTTTATAGCCTGTATAGCCTGTAAAAAAAATTATTTTGACCAGGGTTAATACAAGGTGTTCTGTGAATGAAGTGTGGCAGGGTTGTGGATGCAACATGATCTCTATTCTTTCATTCACAGAGCTTATTTTATTACATTTAAAAAAAAGTAGGAGGGCATTTGTGAATGGGAGGAGGATAGGAATGCTACCATCACAGCTGATCCCTGCTGCTGTTTTTGAAACCTGTGAGCAGCAAGCTGCAGCCACTGAACCTGTACAGTACACTTTAATGACACTTTTCCAGAGGCTGCAACTGTTTGTGGCTGTTGACACCATCAGCATTTACATGCAGTGATTGTGCTGATGCACACAAAGGAGATTTACTAAAGCTGTTTCACTCACAATCTGGTGCACCTGTACATGGTAACCAATCAGCTTCTTACTTCAGCTTGTTCAATTAAGCTTTAGCAATAGTACCTGTAAGCTGATTGGTTTGTATGCAGAAGTGCACGAGATTCTGAGTGAACCAGCTTTAGTAAATAAACCCCAAAGTGCCTTGCAGCTAGCCCCTCACAGGTGTCAAAAGCAGCAGCAGGAATCTGCAGATGTATGCTGCTGCCATTCATACAGTGACTAAAAGCCCACAAAGTATCCTTAGAACAGGGTTTGGAAACTAGTCTAACTTTAGAACAAATATCATTTCTAAAGCGCCATTTACCTTGTTATAAAGTTGTAGTTCCAAAGCAGTACTTAAAATCCAGCCACAAAGCTGTACTTGCAAAGCCAGGCACAAATCTGTACTTGCAAAGCCATAGTCACAAAGCCGTACTCACGAAGCCAGGCACAGAGCCGTACTCACGAAGCCAGGCACAGAGCTGTACCTGTTTGGTTTGGGCCAAACAGGCTGAAATACTGACACTCAGGCAGAAATCCCATAGCTAGGAGGCATTCAGCTACTAATTGAGGGTTTCTATCTGTCAAACCCAGCTCTGATGAAGAAGGGATCACCCTTCGAAACGCGTTAGCTCGAACAAAGATTGTATCTCCCCTTCAGGTGGAATTTGTACGTGACCTGTAACCCTGTGTTGGCTATGGTTATTTTATGCCTGTTTTTAATTCTACTCTTGTGAGTATATTTCTTCAATAAAATTATTCACGGTTTACTGAAGTAATGCGCAAGGTTGGTGCGCTCTTTATTTTATACCTTTACCAGCAGACTGTGGCCCAGGACCTGTATAGCACCCTGCGGCCAACTCAGTGCGATGTACCACATGCCAAGGTGAGTGCCCCGACAGTATCCAGTGACCAATGCAACATTACATGTCTACCCAGGGATCTTCGTCCAGGTGGGGTCCTATTGCGGTCCCCCAGGGCTCAGCCAAGGAAGCCGCAATGGCTATGGTACAGCCAGGAATCTTTATAGACCTCCATACAAATGAGGTAAGTTTTTCTTAGTAGAAAGAATAGATTCATACCTTTTTAAGGACACTAATCAAAATGATACTAGCAGGGCATGGGGGGGGGGGGTTATATAGGGGATGTCCCTGCAGCACTGCCAGTGTGCAGTCACTTATAAGTGACAGCATATAACCCAGACTTAATACGGTGTCTTGTATGTCTTGTACTATACAATTAAGAAAACTCTATTTAGCCTTGACTACTGTATACAGTGGGTATAGAAAAGAATCACCCCCTTCCCCCTTTAAAATAATCACATTGTGTTGCTTTGCAGCCTGAAATTAAGACCGACACAGTTTTTGCTTTATCCAGCTGTATTTACACAGTGCAATTTATAACATCCAAGTGAAAGATAAAACACCAACGCGTCGAAAAAAATATAACAGAATCACAGAGTTGGAAAAAGGATCATCCCCTTGTGTCAGTATTTTGTTGAACCACTTTAATTACAGCCTTTAGTCTGTTGGGATAGGTTTCTATTAACTTTGCACATCTAGACTTTGCAATATTTGCCCACTCTTTGCAAAACAGCTCATGTTCAGTTAAATTTGACCATTTGTGGACTGCAGTCTTCAAGTCATTCCACAGATTTTCAATAGGGTTTAAGTCTGGGCTCTGACTAGGCCATGCAAGGACATTCACCTTTTCTCCTTCAATCACTGTGTGGTCATTTTTGCTGTGTGCTTTGGGTCATTGTCATGTTGGAAAGTAAACCTTCCCATTGACAACTTTCTGGCAGAGGGCAGCAGAGATTCCTCAAGAATTTGAATGTATTTTGCCCCATCGATTTTTACTTCTATTCTGACAAATGCTCCAGTCCCAGCTGCAGAGAAACGCCCCCATTCCAAGATATTACCACCTCAGTGCTTTACTGCAGAAATGCTGTTACTTGGATGGTGAGTTGTATTGGATTTCCGCCAGACATATCGTTTAGTGTTGAGGCCAGATAATTCCATTGTAGTCTCATCTGACCATAACACCTTTTTCCATATGGCCTCAGAATCTTCAAGGTGCGTATTGGCAAAGCTCAGTCGTGACTGCATGTGGTCTTTCTTGAGTGCCTTTTATTCTTGCAACCCTCCTATGCCAGACATTCGTGGAGAATTTGTTGTATTATCACATGCACACAATGACCACTCTTTGTCATAAATTCCTGCAACTGCTTCAGAGTTGCTGTAGGCCTCTGGTCGTTTCTCTGACCAGTTTCCTCCTTGCTCTTTCATTCAGTTTTGTGTGATGTCCTGATCCAGGGAGGGTGTGTGCTGTACCAAATACCTTCCACTTCTTAATAGTAGACTTCACTGTGCTTCTAGGCATTGATAGTTGACTGTTTGCTTCATTTGCACTACTAGTGACTGAAATGCTCCAGGAAAGCTCTCTTTTCAGGCTGAGTTAATCAAAATGACCCCAGCTGACCACAGTTGAAAGTCAGATGGTTTTGTGTGCCAAGGAGAAGGTGATTACCTACATCTGAGTTTACAATTCATTTTCAGAAGGGGTGTGATCCTTTTTACAACTCGGTGATTCTGGTTTTTATTTTTACTTTCAATATGTTTATTTTCCTTCCTTTTATGAATATCAGAAAATTGTTAATACAGAATGAGTTACAACATTGACAGTATCGAGCCAAAGGAATGGAGTCTAGCACTGCTGGCGTGATCACCCCTCCAGTGTCTGTGCAACTTAACAAACATTGTCCCAAGTCTAGGGTATTAACAAAGGACATATACTATATTGCCAAAAGTATTGGGACAAATCCAAATCATTGGATTCAGGTGTATAAAATCAAGCACCTAGGCATGCAGACTGCTTCTACAAACATTTGTGAAAGAATGGGCCGCTCTCAGGAGCTCAGTGAATTCAAGTGTGGTACAGTGATAGGTTGCCACCTGTGCAATAAAGTCCATCCATGAAATTTCCTTGCTACTAAATATTCCACTATCAACTGTTAGTGGTATTATAAGAAAGTGGAAGCAACTGGGAAGAGCAACTCGGCCATGTGGTGGTAGGCCATGTAAAATGACAGAGCGGGGGGGGGGGGGGGGGGGGGGGTCAGTGTGCATGTTGATTTGCACAGTGCGCAGCAGTTACCAACTGTCTGCAGAGTCAATCGCTAAAGACCTCCAAACTTCATGTGGCCTTCAGATTAGCAGAACAGTGTGTAGAGAGCTTCATGGAATGGGTTTCCATGGCCGAGCAGCTGCAATTGAAGTATTACA